AATTTATCAGTTGAGCAACTATCAGTTGAAAAATTTTTTAATATCTTTAGCAATAACCGAGATAATCGGTGGGCTTCTTTTAGAGGAAGTACGGTAATTTATAGCTTGAATAACTTTTCTAATCCAAAATCTAATCAATACTGAAATAGGAAAATTAAAAATGTCTGGAATCTTTTGAGCTAACGGTTTCTAAAAACCAAAATTTTTATAAATTCCTAAAAATTCTAAACATCCGAAACTCAAAGGCTCTCATTTTCTCTTCTCTAACCTAACTAATCAACCAACAATTTAATTTCAATAGAAAGTAAAAATTCTAATTTCCTTCTTATAATTTTCAGCACGTTCCTCAAAATATGGACGAGCTTCTCGATGATCTGATGAAAATGAAAGCGGTCCTTCGCCAACACGAACGTCGTATCCGAATGCTCGAAGAGGAAATCGCTGATCGCAACATGAGCAATGCATACTCCTTCTAATTCTATTTTGAATATATTTTTACTGAATATTTGTAAAAATGTTTTCTTTTTTCTTTTTCAAATAAAATATATAGTAACGACTACACCGTTCAGTAGTTGATTTCTCTTTCACACTCTCGCCACTTCCTATATTTTTTATCCCGAGGATCCACGGATTCCGGTTATTTGAAGAAGAGAAAGGACTGTTGTTACGCCTTCTCTACTTTCACCCCCTCTGCGCAGAATTTCCATCATCCCGTCTCTCTCTTCTTCCCTTATCAACTGACACGTATCAATTCCCGAATCAGATCACAAATACAACTGCCCCCGATGGTTCTAATTTTTCTAGTATTCTCAGTTATCGTCTCGTTTGTGGGTCCACCCACAGCTGATGCGTTTTTGGCATCTGCATTTTCTTCCGTTTCTCAGGCTGGAAAAACATCAAACTGTCATGATTGGAGTGAATATGGTCCTTGTTTCAGGTAATCTTTGGATTGCCGTATCTGTTCTATTAGAAGCTCCTAACCATCAACTTTGAGCTCAATTATCTCGATTTCGGTGAAAATTATCAAAAAGTTGTCAACTAATAAATAATTGTTGATATTATGATAAAAAATTTGTCTACTTACACCTTTCACAGAAATCGAGATAAAAGAGCTCAAAGTTGACAGTTTGGTTAGACTTTTGTTAGATGAAATACGGTAATATTGAAGTTTGTTTATACAATTTTATCAATGAAAAAGTTATTAAAGAAACTTCCAGATTCTGTTTATTCTGTGTTTTCACTGCTAGTTTTTACAAGAATTCTGAATCGACCTAAAAAGAACAGATATTTCTTTTCAAAAAAGTAAAGTTCACAAAATCCAAGAAAAAGTAGATTTCTGGCTTTTTTTATAAATTTCATTCAATTTCAAAACTATTTGAAAGAGCTATCTGGAGAAAATAGAATGTCGAAAATTGCTGTTCCAGTACTCTGTTTAGTTTTTCGGTCCTTATCAGCTAATACTACTGACTGTTGCCCCTAAAATAAATTTTCAATAACTTCAATGATCGCCATACATTTCCAAAAACCTGATTGCTTTAGTATCTTTAAAGATGATACTTTATCGTTTGTTTCATTTTACAAAAATAGGTTCTTGACCTTGAAAAATCACAAAAGCAATACATTTCTGTTTTCAATTTATAGGAATATCTCGGTTCCAAATATCAGAAACCACTTTTGAAAAACGTTTTTTCCAGTACATCAGACCGTTCATTCTGGCGAAACCTGCCTCAACAATGCTACCAAAACCGTTACATGTCTCTAATCACCGGAATCGGAAATCCGATTGTTCAAAAAGTAATGGACTACGCCGAACTGTTCAACAAGTCGGCAACCGCGTGTGGAATGTGCAACGTTCAAGTGGCATGTTCGCCGCGATGTGATTATGTTGCTGGGTATGAAAAAAAAATAATTGGTGGGGAGGGAAAAAAAGAGAGAAGAATGTGTGAAAACTGACAGTAAACATAGAATTTAGTGGCAATTCGTTCGGAGTCGTCGACCGGATTTGTGATCTTCCGACCGAGAAACAGGCATGTGCAATGACTCCACAGGCATATGATGAAGATTCGGGATTGTGCAAAGTCTGGCCGCCAAGGTAACTTATGCCATTTTTTAAAAGTATTGCTTCATTAGTAACCGGTTTAATGCCTTCAATTTTTATCCAGAATTGAAAGTCTTGATTTTGAAAGTATCATAAACACTCTAAAAGAAGCCCATCCTGCACTTTGAGCTCAATTATCTCGGTTCCTTCAAAAGATATCAAACGGTAGTCAACTGATTAAATGTTTATTGTAAAAACATTACTATTTTATCAGTTGACAGATATCTGATATTTTCTACAGGAACTGAGATCACAGGTGATTCGCGAACTATCCGTTACGGACGCTCCGCGTTCGCGCGCGGTTGAAATAGGAACCGCATACGGACCGTACGCGAACAGTTTTTAGTAAAATTTTTGTTTTTAGTAAAAAAAATGCGA